CCGAATGGCGTTCGCATGATAATATGTATTATGCAGACCTTAATATTCCAAAAGCTGCGAAAATCTCTTTCGATGCTCTACCTTCGTCCAGTTGATTGATTTCACGGACTGAACTCTTTGCCTTCAAAACTCAGGTGCCTTAAATCACGGAAATCTGGGAGAGGAGCTGAGGGATTTAGAGCAGTTTTTGGCGAATGCAGTCAATGAAGCCGCAGACATAGCAAAATTCAAAGGTGGCGGCATCTCGTAATGACTTTTGAACCAACGCACGTGTGAGTGGTTCGAAGTTTACAACGTGATCATTGAAATAGTCACTCATTAGCAAGTAATCGTGATCTTCGTGAAACAGAAATGATAGAGGGCGAATTAATTGCGGCGAAGGAAGCCTCTCACCGTAATGAAGCTATGCTCCTTCAAGTTCAAGAAAGTCTTCTCGCAAAAACAGAGGCTGCAGACCAGGAATACTTCCAACAAGAACGATTGGGTTCTGAACGAATTTTGAACACCATCGAGAAGCTAAGTTTTCGAGCTATCGAATTACAGGCAATTAGGATGAGACTTCAGTTTCAAGTGCAGGAGCATGTGATCATTGCAAAATATCTGGAGCATTGTTTCGTAAGTCGTCGAGATATTCCTGAGGATAAGTTTCACGCTCTCCAGGCAATGCTTATAGCTACTCACCGAAAAGCCGCGGAATCTTCTCTTAAAATTCAGACTCTGAATCATATGATAACGATCCTTAAAGAGCATAACGACGAGGTACAGAACGCAGGACTTCTTAAGAATCCCACAAAAGTTGGTTGCAATTGATGCTAAAATGCAGACCACAAAATGTCCTTTAACACGATTATGCTGAAGTTGCAGAATTCCAAGCTGGTGGCAAACATGAGGCAAGAGCTGGCTGACGCCAAGGATGCTCTTAACAAACAGAGCGAAGAATCGGCTCGTCAAAGGGCCGAAGAAGCTGTTGAAGTTCAGAAAATGAGTGACACGATAAGGACCCTCCATGAGCAGAACACTGAGGTATTCGCTTCGCGACTTCCCAGGCACAGCAGCTACAATGATGTTGATATGACATTCACATGGTCTCCTACAAATGCCCTAATGTGATCTCGTGGAGCTGCAGGGCGCTGCACTGGTTGCCAGCCTGAGACAAGAAGTGGCCGAAGCAAAGGATGCTTTCAACATTCAGGTCGAGGAGGCGGTCCAGCGCAAGACCGAAGATGCTGCTGAAATACAGAAGCTGACTGACGCCATGAACATCTTGAGAGAACAGAATGATGAGGTACAGTCTGGATAATGTCACACGCCGACCAAGTACTTACGATAACCGTGTTTTATCGACAAGAAACTCTATGCCTGAATTGGATGATATGCTGCAGAGTTCCGCACTGGTGGCAAACATGAGGCAAGAGCTGGCTAACTCCAAGGATGCTCTCAACAAGCAAAGCGAAGAATCAGCTCGTCAAAGGGCCGAAGAAGCTGTTGAAGTTCAGAAAATGAGTGACACGATAAGGACCCTCCATGAGCAGAACACTGAGGTATTCGCTTCGCGATTTTCCAGGCACAGCAGCTACAAAGATGTTAATGTGACATTCACATGGGCTCCTACAAATGCTCTAATGTGAACGTGTGGAGCTGCAGAGCGCTGCACTGGTTGCCAGCCTGAGACAAGAAGTGGCCGAAGCGAAGGATGCTCTCAACATTCAGGTCGAGGAGGCGGTCCAGCGCAAGACCGAAGATGCTGCTGAAATACAGAAGCTGACTGACGCCATGAACATCTTGAGAGAACAGAATGATGCGGTACAGTCTTGATGTTGTTCCATGACGACCAAGTAGTTACGTTGGGTGCGTTTTATAGAGAATAACCTTATTTTAAAAGTGGATGATGTGCTGCAGAGTTCCGCGCTGGTTGCAAACATGAGGCAAGAGCTGGCTGACGCCAAGGATGCTCTTAACAAACAGAGCGAAGAATCAGCTCGTCAAAGGGCCGAAGAAGCTGTTGAAGTTCAGAAAATGAGTGACACGATAAGGACCCTCCATGAGCAGAACACTGAGGTATTCGCTTCGCGACTTCCCACACATAGCAGGTACAAAGATGTTAATGTGACATTCACATGGGCTCCTACAAATGCTCTAATGTGAACTTGTGGAGCTGCAGAGCTCTGCACTGGTTGCCAGCCTGAGACAAGAAGTGGCCGAAGCGAAGGATGCTCTCAACATTCAGGTCGAGGAGGCGGTCCAGCGCAAGACCGAAGATGCTGCTGAAATACAGAAGCTGATTGACGCCATGAACATCTTGAGAGAACAGAATGATGAGGTTCAGTCTAGATGTTGTTCCATGATGACCAAGTAGTTACGTTGGGTGCGTTTTATAGAGAATAACTTTATTTTAAAAGTGGATGATGTGCTGCAGAGTTCCGCGCTGGTTGCGAACATGAGGCAAGAGCTGGCTGACGCCAAGGATGCTCTTAACAAACAGAGCGAAGAATCGGCTCGTCAAAGGGCCGAAGAAGCTGTTGAAGTTCAGAAAATGAGTGACACGATAAGGACCCTCCATGAGCAGAACACTGAGGTATTCGCTTCGCGACTTCCCAGACACAGCAGCTACAAAGATGTTGATATGGCATTCACATGCGCTCCCGCAAATGCCCTAATGTGATCTCGTGGAGCTGCAGAGCTCTGCACTGGTTGCCAGCTTGAGGCAAGAAAGTGGCCGCAGCAAAGGATGCTCTCAACATCCAGTTCGAGGAGCCGGTCCAGCGCAAGACCGAAGATGCTGCTGAAATACAGAAGCTGATTGACGCCATGAACACCTTGACAGAACAGAATGATGAGGTACAGTCTAGATGTTGTTCCATGATGACCAAGTAGTTACGTTGGGTGCGTTTTATAGAGAATAACCTTATTTTAAAAGTGGATGATGTGCTGCAGAGTTCCGCGCTGGTTGCGAACATGAGGCAAGAGCTGGCTGACGCCAAGGATGCTCTTAACAAACAGAGCGAAGAATCAGCTCGTCAAAGGGCCGAAGAAGCTGTTGAAGTTCAGAAAATGAGTGACACGATAAGGACCCTCCATGAGCAGAACACTGAGGTATTCGCTTCGCGACTTCCCAGGCACAGCAGCTGCAAAGATGTTGATATGACATTCGCATGCGCTCCCACAAATACCTTACTGTGATCTCTTGGAGCTGCAGAGCTCTGCACTGGTTGCCAGCCTGAGGCTAGAAGTGGCCGAAGCAAAGGATGCTCTCAACATTCAGGTCGAGGAGGCGGTCCAGCGCAAGACCGAAGATGCTGCTGAAATACAGAAGCTGACTGACGCCATGAACATCTTGAGAGAACAGAATGATGAGGTACAGTCTGGATAATGTCACACGCCGACCAAGTACTTACGATAACCGTGTTTTATCGACAAGAAACTCTATGCCTGAATTGGATGATATGCTGCAGAGTTCCGCACTGGTGGCAAACATGAGGCAAGAGCTGGCTAACTCCAAGGATGCTCTCAACAAGCAAAGCGAAGAATCAGCTCGTCAAAGGGCCGAAGAAGCTGTTGAAGTTCAGAAAATGAGTGACACGATAAGGACCCTCCATGAGCAGAACACTGAGGTATTCGCTTCGCGATTTTCCAGGCACAGCAGCTACAAAGATGTTAATGTGACATTCACATGGTCTCCTACAAATGCTCTAATGTGATCTCGTGGAGCTGCAGGGCGCTGCACTGGTTGCCAGCCTTAAGCGAGAGGTGACCGAAGCTGAGGATGCTTTCAATAAACAGATTCTGGAAACTACTAGTCTAAAGAAGGAGTATGCTGTTGAAGTTCAGAATCTAAATGAACAAAATAGAAATCTTCAAGAACAGAATAATGAGGTTTCGTTGCAAAATTTCTCAAGTATAATTATGTCATTTACACCGCTATGTTCTTTGTGATAGTCATAAACAAACCTCAACGTGGGGTGACATGATGTTTAGAATGTGCAGAGTGCTGTGCTAATTGCCAACCTAAGACAGGAAGTGACTGAATCCAAGGATTCTTTAAATCAACAGTTTAAGAAGATGGTTCAACGTGAGGCTGAGAAGGCAGTTGAAGTTAAGGACTTGAAGGATTTGATACAGAGCCTCACTGAAAAGAATGCGGAGGTACAATGTGAACGATGAATAAATAATCAGAAAAGTATGTTTAGTGTGCTAGAAAAATGGAAGCTTACTTGCACCATAAACAGGTCCTCATAGGGTGTTGTGAATCTGCAGAATAGTTTCTTGGTGGCCAATTTGAGGCAAGAGATTGCTGAAGCCAAGGGTACTCACAACAAACAAGTTCAGGAGATGGCTGAGCAGAAGGCTAGAGATGCCATTGAAGTCAAAAAGCTGATTGAAGTGATTAGAGTCCTTCGAGAAACGAATGAGGAGGTACACCTCGCACGATGTCTATAGACAAGTGTGAAATCGAACTTTTTGTTTCAGTCAGATTTACACCAATATTC